GTTCGTTAGTGACGTTATCCCCACATTTCCAGAGACCGCCGTCGCAAAATGTACGGAAACAATTTTAAATTACTACGCGAGAGAATTTTGAGTGGCGTGGCCGGACGCAGTGGGTGGAACAGTTTCCCCCCCGGGAAGCCCGCTCACTCGCAGGACCCCACGCTCCGCTGCACAGCGACAAATGAGGGCTCCCGCCGCCGCATCGTCCCACTGCCCTTGCCCTGGAGAACGAGCGCACTGCGCGAGTCCTCTTCTCACTCACCACTTCCCGACGCGTCGTTCGTCTTAGGAGCCGGCTCAAGGTCACATCCGATCCCAATCACATTGAGTTAATTATTCCATATTTTACTATGAGACAAAGTTGGTATTAATTGATTATTTCGTGTTTACGGGTGCGTCAAATGCTATTGGCATTAGTCACCTAACTATAATGCATGAAGGTGGCGGTCATCTTTCCGTTCTGAATAGTGAGATCCGGCACGGACCTCCCTTTCGGCTTCTGAGGTTATTCCCGACCAGGTATCTGCCACCAGAGAGGCACCGCCCGAACAAGCTCTAAGCCCCCAACGGGTCTCCTGACGTATGTGGTAGTATAGTTCATGTAAAGTATGTAAGTTGTGAGTAATGATAAGACAAGGGAGAGGAAGGATGAAGTTCATGGTCCGTTTGTTAGAGTTCTGCTCCGGCATTCGCTTGGTGTTGATCGGAGATATCAAGGAAAACTATCTAGCAGAGCAGTCGGCCGATAGAATTCTCCTCCAGACAGCGGCTGTCCTAGACCTATCTAGATAGTGTCGAAAAGCAAGCCACAGTTCGGACTCAAACCCCAGCACTTCCCGGTCAGAGGCACTGCAGTGACTTCCGTTGATGGTGATCCAGTAGAAAGTTAATGTGAAGATAATAAAAGGTGATAGATAAAATGTGACATGAATGCTATAATACATGTGGTTGAGTGTAATACGGAGGTCGTAGTCAGTCTTGTGCCTGCTTTTAATTCTAAGACAGAGGCGTGGAGTGGAAAATAAAAAAAAATATTTTAGTTTTACTTCCTGTAATTAAAAGTCAATACTCTTAATTCAAAATCTCGTAATTCTACTAAATATCCCTCCCTGGATACTCCTCTTGAATTAGTACACTTGTAATTTTACGTTAAAAAGTGTAAAAATTGACTGCGATATTAATTCTTTATGCAAGTGTTATAGGGAATGATTCAAAACTTTGAAAGTTCTAACAGGATCTATAAATTTAAGAGTAAAAGTATTAGAATTATTTTAACTTCGCTATTAAACTGTTATTAGAAATTCAAAAACGTTTCCGGAACCGTATTTGGCAACTCAGTCGTCTCAATATCAATTTTTGCAACTGACTACTATTAAAGTGTTTTTTAATTAAAGAGGCAATATGTTGGGTTAATCAGTTACCTTTTCACTTCGCTTTTTTCTCGGAATTGTAGGAGTAGTAGTCCTTACCTAGACGACACGTGTTCATAGTATTCAGAGCATAATTTCGTTAGTACCGTTAACATCACCGCTGCCAGTGCTCATCTGATTCTATCATTACAAACCATTAGTATTGAGGATAACAATATCATAAATGAATTATCAATTATTTTATTTTGAAACATTTTTTTATTCCTAGAAATCGCATAGAGTTGAAAATACTAGAGTCACATGTTCACAAAAATTAATGTCATCTTAGAAACAATGAGAAAAGGAACCAAAGAGCACGAAGGTGAGAAAAACAGGCGGAAGGTGGCACGGGAGGAGGGAACCGTAGGGAGAAGAAGAGGAAGGGAGCACTAAAGGTTTCAGCCAGCACGAAAGAAAATCGTGTTTACACTCAAATTAAACTCATTACAGAGAGAATCATTTACATTAGAGACATTATGACAATTACAGTACTTAATCTCAATTCATTATCATAATAAGACAGCTTGTTTTCAGACCATTGATGGAGTAGTGAATTCGCACGAAAATAACCTGAGGTAAATAGTTGAACTGACGTCACTGATGTAAGTCAATATAAAAAGGATATTTTCCTTTCGATGCGTGTCGTTAATTGAAGAGGAAAACTTTAAGAGTTCCCAGAGTATTTTTGGCACGTTATGACGAACGCATCGTGTTTCAATTGGATAATGATGTTCATAGCCAAAAAATAACATAGGTATACTCAAATCCTCCCCTCCAAAAAAAGCAAGAAAAATCTCATCCCGCTTTAACATACAATCAATGAAATTGAAGATTATAGTAATATGTATTCGAACGTAATATTTATTTTGGATATAGTTGCCTCATTACAGTTCTTATTCCAGAACTTACTGTATCTGATCCAAGAAAGTCTGCAACACGAACATAAGATGAAGTTATAAATCACAATATTTGGATGCAAAAATAGGGTTTTGGCATTAAATAAGGATATGAAATCATCGAACGGATGATGACGAAAATAGTTTACCTTACGGCTTATTTGTACAAAAACTAGTAGAGAAATAATGCAATTCCAACGACATACTTAGAAGCTGTAATTTCTTTTCAAACTCTCAAGGTAGAAGATTTAACGTACTGGGACTTTCCCTGGATTTTACGAGTAATGCGTTGCAACCTTGCACTTGAACTTCGAAGTACTGACATTAGCCTCAAAATACGCCATTCTACGTATTGCTAATAACAGAGTTGCTGCACTTCTCAAGAAGCTTGTGGAAATTTTCATTATTCGTTTCCGTTCCAGACTGAAATGTCTATGCCATTCATTCTTTATCACCTGCTTTAGATGTCTAATCACTTTGTATCTTTTGTATCTTTAAATGCAATGTACTAAAGAAAAAATAAATTATTTCATACTTCGTCACTACTTGTAATTAATAATAGAAAATTTGCCTTACATTGCCCTTAGCTGGTTTTTACCAATTTTAAAAAGGCTGTAGCAGTTTTTACGAATTAAAATTAATTTATTAATTTAAGTTGTTAGAAAATAAATTAACAATAAATTGAGTAAGACTGGTTCGATAAATTCCGATCAACCACAAAGAAAATCTAACACTTTATAATTGGACATATGTGCACATTATAATGTGATCAAGAAAATTATAATAATACAGCTCTATTGCAAATCTTTTTCACAGGGTCGCAAATATGTGAAAGAGTTAATTTTAGTGGTGAAGAATAGGTGGTTTGGTATGGTATTTCTGCTTATAGTTTGACAATTCCGCAAACTACGAGTGTGAACGCCTCAGTCGAGATTCGAAAACAACATTTGTGAAGTAGTACAAATACTGTTGCAATTAATTCGGTTGTGAAATTGAATTATTTTTCTTATATTGCATTACATTTCAACTCAACGTAAGAATTTAGTATCTATATGAACAAACTAATATGTCCTTCAATTTTGTCTTTAAATTGATATTTACCAGTTATATTTTCATGACTTCTCCATAATTTATACGAAATGTATTACATTACAGAATAATGAATCGAATTAAAAAGCAAAAGAAAGATCTGTGATTGGCTAAAATAAAATCTAATTTTTTAGATGTAGATGGGATAGTTATAATCTTTAAGTTAAGAACGTAAATGTATGTTTTATCGATGACTAATTTATTTTGTAAATTAGGAACTAGTAAGATTAGTGACTTCCTAATCAATGTATTACCTTAGTTCGTGACTGGAGGTCATTGTAGCGATAGGCCTCCTTATTCTCACGCAGTGTAAGAAACAACAAAAGAATCACAACACAATTTAAGACTAACATGGAATGGTCAGAAACTTTTGGAACAGACTTGCAGTCTAATTCATGATGATGGTGATGATAATGGTGTCTAGGCAAAAATCTTACAAGAAATGTTTTTTTTTTTTGTCAAATGCTGAAGTCATTAGCCGCGTAAGTGTAATGCATGTTACATCGTGTGCGGGAGAGGGGAGTGTTCCTGCTCCGTTGTAATGTGAGATACGGCGCCCATCTCTACATTGACTTGCATGGTTCTTCCCACCAGACGTCACCGCCAGCGGACCTTCCTCCCAACCGGGTCAGACTCTTAAGCTCTCGACTTGTCGTCCAATATGTTTGGTAGATGAAGCCAAAGCCAATCTCAACCAATTGCAAGTATTTCAAAACAAATATTTAAAATTAATAAGAAGAGCGCCATGGTTCATTAGCAATGAACAATTACATCACGATCTAAATGAAATAGCACACCAAATAGAATGTCTATCAAAGAACTTTTCACAAACTTAACCTTTATAAAGGCATCAACTCACTACAGACTCGGAAAAGATCCTAGATACAAAACCAGAATTAAGAACGGATTCCCGCTCCATTTTTTCCTTCAGATATTTGCAAAGATTGAATAATTCTCCTAGGGTTCATCTTGTTTCCTCTCCGTATGTTAAGATTAGTTAAGTACAATTTTAACCTAAATTACGATAATTAGATTGCTAAGTTTGCTACAATTGCTGTTTTTCTTGTAAACTGAACATTGTAAGTAGAACAAAGTAATGAAATAAATGAAAAAATGTTTGGTTGTACCGTGCGTGTAAGTGTTCTGTGCGTACCGTGCGTGTAAGTGCGCAATTGTGTTCCGGAGGAAAAAAGGAAATATCGTGCGCGATTCGTGGGCCATTTGTTAGGTTACTGCTTAGGTATTCGTCTAGGAGTGATCGAGAGAAACACGGAAAGGCTGAATTGGCCCTCTATAGCTAAGATCGAAAACCCGTCACCGCCGTGACTCGAACACTAGATCCTCCAGATTACAGATACTGCTATGGAATTAGCTGCAGCCCTTTGACATCTCCCTAGAACTGTTCCTTCCCGTGGCAATTGAGGCATTCAGTGATAAAAGGTGCTAACCCATAAAATTCAAAATAACGATTAACAAACATTATTGATTTTAAGCGCGTTCAATGACAATAAATCGATGTTTTGAATCCTGTTAAAACAGCTCCCCACTCTCTCTCTCATGTCTAAATTGTAATGCTCCTGATCATGGAGCCTTCCCGCTGTAGCACATGGAGCGTGTGGGGGTCGGCCCCAAACCCCCGCTGACGCACGGGACAGCGAAGGTTCGGGACCGACGGGTGGCCCCGGGGCAGAGTGGTCGGCGAGGGCGGGGCGGGCGGGTGGCGGGCGGGTTGGTGCGGGCCGTGT